CCCCGCTTTCTTTTTTTTTTTCTTTTTTGGGAGAAGTCTTTGCTGTAGGGCGCATGCGCTTGCCAGAAAGACAGAGAGAGACAGAGAGACAGCAAGAAATCACCCTCAGGGGGGAATGGCCACGCCGCAATCCCTTCTCCATTCTCCTCTAAGGATCTTGGGCACGCACACACATGCACCTGGCGTGAGTTTAAGCCACCGGGTCTGGGACTTGAACTGCTGCCGGTTACATGAGAGTCCAGCAACATAGCCATTATGCCAACTGCTGTTCCCCTGCAGTTCCTTTTCCTCTACTCTCCTGTTCAGATTTTGCGCATGTATGCACACACCCAGTATGTTTTTCAAGCCACTGGGTTTGGGACTTAAAACACGAAGTTGACCAGGTGGGATCCAGCACCTTAACCATCATACCACCTGTCGGCCTCATCTTTGTGTTTCTTTTTTTAGGTTTCTTTCTATAGGATGTGTGTAGTCACCAGAGACAGAGATAGAGGGAAAGTGAGAAATTACCCCCCCAGGGAGATCGTTACACCACAATCCCTTCTCTTTTATTCTTCACTCAGGTTTTGGGTATTCATACACACACACACACACACACACACACACACACACAGTGTGTGTTTTTTCAGTTTCTGGGTCCAGGACCCAAACCATGGAGTGGGCCATGTGGGATCCAGCCACCTTAACCTCCATGCCACCTGCTGGGCCCTCATTTTTTTTTTTTTAGAGAGATTTTTGCTATAGGGCATGCCTGCTCACTGGAGAGACAGAAATGGAGACAAAAAGTGAGAAATCATCCCCACCCCCCGGGGATAACCACGGTGTAATCCTTTATCCTCCAGTCTTCTCTTGGGAGTTTAGGCATGAACATACACATGCCCAACCTGAGATTTTTCTTTGAAGAATGATTTATTTAATTTTGTTTGTTATTATTATTTTTTGAGATTTAGAACTTTATTTTTAAAAAAATTTTTATATACATTCAATCACATTGTTTAGCTTACAGTGTGAGCATTTCTCCTCAGTCCCGTTGATCAGAATATCTTCAACCGATAGATAATACCACACCTCCCCATCCCGTCAATGCTCTACCTCTGTATCCCTTCTCCAAATGTCCTTTCTTAGGCCCCACTCCTCCACGCACACCTCATCTGACATTCACACTCATCTCTTGTGTTTGTACAACTTTTAGTCAATCAGTTTCA